GCGTCAATACCACATGACATATGCCAATTCACAGTGCATATATTAATTATATATGCGTTTCAAATGAAAATCCATTCATGTGCGATTTGCGCGCATGGCAAAGTATTTTGCCAAACCTTATTTTATTACAGAGATTGAAACAAATGTCATATACCGGGTGTAAAACTAAATATTGACTGATTTTCACTCTTTCTTTTTTTTGTTTCTTTAATGATGTAAACACTGATGGCATTTTTTACATTATATATTAATTATTATTCTATATGGAAGCCTAAGGCGTTCTCTTTGATTCTTTGTTTTTTTTTTTTTTTTTTTTTTTTTTTTCATTAGTATTAGTAACGTCGGTCTGTCCGTCCGTGTACTCTAAATCGCTAAAATGTAGCTGTTGTCGACTTCAACATTGAAAATTCTTGTACGCAGGTTGATATAGAATAGGGAACAAATTGATTTAAGTACACGTCCACTCTAAAGCCTGGACCGGATACACATCTTTCTCCCCAAGCAAGAATTTGTGGTGGTTTTTTGCTTATTACTTATAAATTACGAGAAAGACAAGCCTGAAATCTTTTATATTTACTTTATTTTATATATATACATATACATATATATTATTTATTTATTATATATTACTATCCACGTAAAAAAAAAAAAAGGAAAATATCGCCCATGCGCACACAAAGTTATAAGTGATTAAATTTAAATACGATGGACCCCACAAGGTGGAGAATTTCGTATCAAATAGTAGGGCTTGAAGAGTAGAATTCGACAAGCTAAGTGTGTTAATTCTAAAATAAATATCGCGGACATCACGACGTGATGAATTAATTTTTTCTTTACAATTCCATCGATCAAATAAAAGGACTTGGATTAGCAGATACAGATAGGATAACGGTGATGGGTACAAGAGATTCGGTAATGGCCAAATTTCTATTTTTTTTTTTTTAAATCAAATCATTCCTTTTAAGTAGATCTTACTTAGTCTGTCTATAGGTCCGTCTGATGTCTGTCTATGTAATTTTGTGTTCAATTTACATTTGATACACTGACGTAGTTTCGCCCGAGAACGAGCGCCATTCGAGCGCTTTTCCCACAACTTCTGATATAATGGATAACTTTGATAAGTCACTGCATTAAGCTAAGTGATTTAGGGCATTTAATGTTGGATCGTGCTCCGCGCTATAATCTCTCCATTTGTTTACGTTGAAATAATTTATTTTGATTTCAGTTAATTAATTCATTTTTTTTCTATTGTCTCTTCCAATTAATTATTTAAGCGCAATTTGTAATTTAAATAAAATGATTTAAATTAATTAAGGGGGCGTTTTACAATTAATTAGTTTCCCTAACCAGGTTCAAAGCATATAAATATGCTACGGAAGTCGTTTTAATTCACATGTGTTTTTGCCGGCTGTGATTATGAAAAATCTAAAAAAATGACTGCGTGTCGATGCTATGATCTATTCAGTGCAATTCTTCTCCTTGTTTTGTAAATGTTTGCCTCGAAACGCTTGGTGTGACATAATTATGGCATTCGTTTTAAAAACGCTTTAATTGACCTTTGACTATTTGTAGAATTTCTTAAAAATTAATAGGACTTCATTTTGCATAACGCAGTCTAGTCTGTTTAATATGCTGTGAGAGTAAATATTCTGCTGAACAAAAATTTGAAATAAAGATAATGCAAAAAAGCGGGATAACTATGCCAGCAAAATCACTTATGCTCTCCTTTTTAGCGGATAACATTTACCATCAATGGTAAACATAAATGCGCAGCTTTTCAGATATTTCGCGGAATATATATAGTTTATAATTCCATCTAAATATTTGCGTGCATTATCTAGCAAAGATCCATTCAATATCAAATGAAATGAATCCAATTATTTAGTCTCAGTTTCAAGTCATAATTTTGATATAATATAATATTTCTATCATCTCCACATGTTCGCATCCGCTGAAAGTGTAATTTACGGAATTCTGTTAAGGAAAAATTTAAACATTATTTGCACTCAATTAAATTTTATCGTGAAAATTGATAAATGCTTAATATTTAAATGATAATTAAAGCTTAATAACAAGCCACATATTTTAAAGCGAACGCTTCATCCCAAAAATATGCCACAATATTTTAACTCTTAGCAATCGTAAAATAAGTAAACATTGAAAATGTAAAGCTGCTTTTAAGTGGAGGCGCATATAAAGATATATAAAATTCATATATATAAAAATGTATATACATACATACATACATATATATATATATATATATATATATATATTTATGATTATAAGAAAGCGTGTCTTCATTATGTTTTGCGCTGTTTTTAATTAAGACGCCTGTTGTTGGTTAGTTAAAGGAATAAGTGTAAAATTAGAAAAAACCGCAAAACTTGCGCTGTTATGTTTACAGAAAAAACAGCATAAAACAACAATATATATTAAAAAAAAAATATATCTCCCTCGAAGCGAATTACGAGTCCCATTAATTTCAGGCGAATATTTAATAATCGCAGATTTTACATTTTCTATTGAAGGTCTGTGATACGCTAAAGTTTACCATCAGTTTATAGTATCTTGGGTTATAAATATATATTTATTAGCAAAGTATATATATTCATAAACTTCTGAATTAATTAGTAGCCCTATTCGCTCATCACTCGATCCACTTTTCCGTTTATATGTCCGTCTGCCCGTAATGCGTTATTGGACGTGAAATGCTGACATTTCACGTATATCGCTCCTAATGAATGGCTACAAATTTGATTTCGAAATTGAAGTGATCGATCTATAACTGCAAAAGTTAAAAAACTCGAATTCACTATCCACAGTAGCTACTTGCGTGAAACTCAGTTCAAATATTTACGCGAATTTTACAATGCTCAATGAAAAATAAGAGGCGTCGACCTAAAAAACAAATCTCACTGCAATGGAGTAAACTTTGTAAATTACGCTCTATAAGGCGTATTGACATAAATGCAAATAATACTTTGAGTCGAACGAAGGGTTATATTTAAAGAGAGAATTTTCCATTCAAATCATGTGAATACGTACATGACTATATGTATATACTTGTCTCAAGCTATTGCTTTACCTGAACGGTAGTTTCTCCCATCATAAAGTACGGTAGAGTTTTCAATAAACCTGATAGCCTTAAGTGCTAGTGCTTTGAGAATTTACTCTATAAATAATAATTCATATGTAGCGGCTCTAGAATATCTGTAATCTGCCAATTAATAATCGGAATGCCATAACATTGGTTATATTTTCTTTGACTTGAAAATCATATGGATTTGTGGATACTAAGGACATCTATATGTTATCCTACAAACTTATTGAACAATGTTTTATGTCTTTGCATTTAAACGACTTATAGTTAATTTTATCTTTAAATGTTATTTACTGCGTAAGAATTTTAAGAAATAGCAATAACAACTCTTTGTACTGTACAACGTGCAGTCTTTCCAATCTAGTATTTAAGAGCACAATAAGAGTAAAAGCAAACGACTTAAGCGTTTCGAAATGTTGCTAAAGCAATGAGAAAGTTACGTTACCAACCAGATCAATCAGTCAGTCAATATATTTCTAGACTATAAATGAAACGATGTAAAGATTCAACTTTATCCATTTCACTCTCTTGAAAGTTCTATCAAAATAATAAATAAAAAAAAATAATAAATTATTCCAAAGTAATTTCGTCCATTTGTTGAACCAGAAATATGTTTACTAATCTACTAGATTCAATTAATCAAAGGACTATGACTATTACACTAAAGCAATATATAAATAATACATAACAGGTAAGAAAATTACATTCGGTCCTGAACGATCGTCGTTATCCTAAAAAGAAAAAAAGAAGACTTTAAAAAGAGCAAAAAAATTACATTTTCACATTTGTACCGTGTATATGTGGTAGTTTATGAGTAACCAGAAAAAAAAAACACGGAAAACAAACTGGTCTCAGTTTTTGTTGCAGAGACGTGTGGGCGTTGTAGACGTAACCTTTGATCGGTTTGGGCTATTTACATACATTTTTGCCAAATTTGAACGATGGATCAACATTTTGGCGAACGGGAGATTATTTACCATTTATATTACATAGTTGAGCAGACGGAACTATAACTGGCTTAAAATTTGTATACCTTATGGGCGTTTTACAGAAAACATAAAATTTTGATATACTATAATATTGGGTAGGCGTGATCAGATTTTCCCATTTTTGTGCAGCTGCGACAGCATCACCCATACAATAAAGGTTAACATTTTTGTAAATTTATTAGCTGTAGGTGACGATAAGTAGTGAGCAAAAAATTAATTTTCTGTCCCTTTTGAAAAACGAAGGGGGGGTATCCAGTGTACGTGGTACTGTAGAGATATCCACCGCCCAATTTGCCACAATTTCAATACAAACGTGCGCCCAAGAACTTCTAATGCTACTGTCCATAGCTTTAATTTTGCGACCAGGGAAGCGTTTATCGCAGACATTACAAAGGCAGGCAAGCAGATGGACAGATGGACAGACGATTATGTTTAAATCAATTTAGAATTTGATAATTGTTGGGTTCCTTCGGGACGTTGCAAACGTTTCAACAAAACGAATACACCGTTTATGCTTCGGTGACTATACTGCAGTGGGATTTTTGTTTTTATGCAATTGCTTGGATTGATTGCTTACAACGTTTACACGCGATGCATGCAGTATACTATTTATAGGCAGTTGGCCAAATGAATAACAAATAAACAATATATAAAAATGTTATCTGCTTAATTTTTACCGACAATTCAACAGAGTAATCGCTTACATGTGCATCGGTTGCCAAAACGTAGCGATTAAGAAAAATAGTTGGTTTTCATGCTTAAATGAAATGATTTTAAATAACTATTTGCCAAAGAAATTTTGCTTTTTTCTTTTTGTTTTAAATATGAAAAATAAAGAAGAGAGAAATTTTTGGGATTTTATTTAAATTTATTATTTATTTATGTACAAAAAGAGTTTTTAAACACAGAGAGATAAAGGAGACTTTATTCATTTATTATTCTCTATAATAAAACGGTTGCAAAGGGGGCTGAGCTTGAGCGTAGACAGGCACGGGGGCATTGTAAGCTGCTTGATAACCACCGAGCATAGGACTGTTAACACCAATACCGTTATTGTTAGCGCAAGATACTGGCGCTAAGCTAGGTTGACAAGAAAACATATAATTCTTTGCACACGGAGGCGCTGAAATTTGATAACCAGTCGCTGCTGCTGCTGCTGCTGCTGCTGCTGCTGCACTCTTGAATGCTCTACGATTTCTATAATTGTCCAAATTATCGTTTTCTTCTACAGACTTTTGTTGTTGTTCATCGGTTGCTTTTATTGAGCTTTTATCAACGAAATCCATTGGTGCATTGGTGCTAGCCGTTGCCGCTATGTTCCAGTTTAAAAGGGCGGTAAAAACAATTAAAAATATAATCATCGTCTTCATTGCGTTCATTTATTTATTATATTTTTTTTTTCGTGTATATAGATGACTTTTACGTTTACTGTAAAGTGATTGCAATTAAACTATGAAGTTAATGTTGGAAAAAATTATGCTTTTATTGAAAATTGCAAAATTCTTAAGTCAGCAAAGTTTTTCATAAAACGTATGTCATATGATTTATGTCAGCGCTGACCCGTTCAGAATGATAATGAATCATTACATTTTATTCTTTTTTTTTTTTGCATTTTTTTTCCATTTTCTTTACTCTCTACTCTTGACGTTTCACTTTGCCGTTATTGTTGTTGTTGTTGTTGTCTTCTTTTTTTTTTTTTTATCTCAATTCAAGGAAAAGAAACAACAAAATTTTGTACTTTCCGTACTTTATCAATTATTTTAATTGTAAGCGAATGTAACTTTGTGTTTCCTTAGCTGCGAACAGCAAAAGCAATCAATGCATAGACAGCAATGACCCAATTTAATGAAAGCGTTAAAAAAAAAAAAGAAAAAAAAAATAAAACCTGCTGACTTCATTGAAAAAACGGTATCAACATGTGAGATTATGGCTTTGTAACACCATTTAACCAAACAATACACCTGATGACTGCAAGTGATATGCTGAGGTTTTTCATAGCTACCATGACACCTTTCGATAAAAAAGTGAAAAGAAAGAGAGAGAGAGAGAGATATATATAGAGAGAAAGAAAAAAGAAGATAAAAAACAATAATAATAATAATAATAATTTAAACAAGAATCAATTTAATAAAAATGTGAAAAAATTTGTATTGTGACGCAATTAAAATAAGTTTATCCATTGAAGAAAAGAAAAACAAAAAAAAAAAAAAAACAAAAAAAGAAAGAAAAAATAAAAATGTTGTGTAGTGCATCACACTTTTTTGTTTTCAAATACATACTTAGACACTAGAGTGTGTACCCTACGAAAGTATCTCATCGTCTTATATATATATATATATATATGCCGCGTGCGAATCGCGTTTATCTTTCCAATTATCGTATCGCTATCTACTTTAGTCTCTGGAATGGCGGTTAGCTTGGTTGGTGTAATTGTCAGTCGTCCGTTTGTTCGTTGCTGTATTGAAGGAGAACACCATAAAAACCACTTACCAAACCTTAAACCGAACGCGCGCCTTCACTGCAATATTTGCCCTTTTGTTAACTCTCCTTAAATTGATTGCCATACAAAAACAACAAAACTATTGTTTTTGCCATTATACTGCTGCGCATACTACGCGGCCTCTTCATAAACACAAATGCTTGAGCGAAATTACGGTAAACTGTAGATATGTGTACAGTTCTATTCAAGCATGTAACCACCCATTTAAAGTTAACCTTGTTAAAATTATATATCACTGAAGGCTGGGAAAAGGTATTTTTTCATTGTGTCGTACGGTCATCGAAATTGTTGAAAAGCAGTTAATTTAAAATGTGTCGCTATTTTGCAAGTTTCGTAAGCGACAAACAAAAACATCCGCACTCGTACGCATTTATATATGTCGCAGAGAATAAAAGTCAGAACGAAATACGTGAGCAAAAACTACTAATACCAATTTTTCATATATCATTTTTAAGCAGTAGGAGATTACATCATGTGTAGATGAACACATTAAATAGACCAAATAGTTGGCAACTAGTCGATAGTTGACTTCTTTCTCCCCAAAAGCACAGGTAGTATAGGGCGTGATGTTTACGAATTTCCCAACCGACATTAATGTGAAGAGTCAATTTAAAAAAATAACACAAACAAGTGAGAAAATTATATTTGATCATGACCGACCCATGTGCCATGTACTCATTCCCGTTACCTGGCGATTGCATAACGTGTAGATGAACATATTAAATATCCCAAATAGTTGGCAATTAGTCGATAATCGAATTTTTCCTCCCCAAGGTAATATAGGTTGTGATGCTTACGAAATTTATTGAGTTCACAACTGACATTAACGTGAAGAGTCAATTTAAAAAGAAAAACAAAAACAAGTGAGATTATTCTATTCGGTCATGACCGAATCTTTTCTACCCATCAACGTTACCCCAACAAAAACTTTTTGTTCATTTTTCTGCTATACTTTATGGGTAATAAGTGAAAGCACAAATTTTTCTTCCTCTTGAGAAACAGAGGTGTTTTCAATTTACGCACTGCTGTGGACGTTGCCTTCGTCCGCTTTGGCCCGTTTCCAATACCAAGCTGTACCCAAGAAGTTCCAATCTTTTTGCCAAATTTCAAGTCGACAGCTTCAATTTTACGGACGGACGGACATGCTTAAATCGATTCAAAATTTAACGCTGATCAAGAATCAAGAAGAATGTGGTGTCTCTCAAGCGTTCTTCTGGGCATTGTAAACGTTTCGACAAAACGAATATATTCGTCATCCTTCGATAATGGGTACAAAATCAAGACAAACGGACACCTGAAACGCAAGTGCATAGAAGCAAACTCTGGCAATTATTAAATATGACCTCGGTCATGCACAAGCTTTTTATTTCTTCTACTGTGGGAGTGTTTTTTTGTGGATGAATCGGCGATCAGTCTTCTTACTAAAATTTTAGACCCAGTATACGCAGCTATTAAGTTTACGTCATAAGTTTATTTAATTTTCTCCTTCTTCGTAGAGAGGAGAGAGTGTGCTGCGGCATCACGGTTGCGTATTTCACAACGAATGTCACTAAATTTGACAAAAGGTGTTTTTCGCAGTCTCTAACAGTACAGTGCATAGAATCGGAAGAGCTTTTGACAGTGCCTTCTGCGAAGACGAGATACAATAGTTCGTGATGTGAAGCAGCCTGTGTCACAGATTGAAAATAAGTCTGAAAAATATATTTTTCAATTTTATTTATTTTTTTTTTTGTAACTTCCATCTTGCGCCTGTACGCTGTTTCACCGTCCCATTAATCGATCAACGCATAATATTGCCCCCAAACCCAAAGTAAGTCTTCTTCAATCTATATATATATATATATATATTATCGATCACGCTTTCTTCTCTTCGTTTTTTATATAATTTTCAAATGTCAAATTTTTAAATTAGCGATGTCCAGCCGATAGAGCTTGAAATGCTTTACTATATAGAAGGCATTAAAGTGTGACGTGTTAGTTCATGTTTTCAATAGTTTAGAATTAACGAGACAACAGCACCCATTCTCCTTTCTATTCCCTGTCACAAGGTTCGTTATGTGTAAAGCATTTTCTAAATGTTGCTGATGTTCAATATCTATATTGGTCTTTAGCCGAAGGTGCATCGCATTTGATATCTGCTCAATGAGTTCGGAGGTTTGATTAGCGTTTCTTTTTTTTGCTTTTTGGATTCGAACGCACTGCAACGACTTTGATTATTTTTAACTTCTAGTTTGTGTGATTTCAAGCACTTGCCTCAATTCAGCTGCGTATTTAAAAGGGAACATCTTTTGTGCCACAAGCTACAACTGTAGTGTTTCATCGACGTTTATTCTATACTTGATTGGCACGTAATTAGGGACAGACAGACAGACAGACAGGTTTTTCTTCTTAATAATTCTAATTCTAATCTTAAGTTAAATGCTAAATTAACTCTACACATTATTTAATTATCGTAAAATATTAATAACGATAATGGGTTTTTTCCCTTCTCTCTTCTATTATATCACATAGTGTTATAAATCACTACATGTTTATCATTCATTATAGTTTACAATTATTATTGTAGGATGTGTGGGGGATGCGTTACTCGTAATCCTTTAAAGCTTGTATTGTATACAAACAGATAAATAAACAAAAATGATACAAATAATCAATAATGCTACACAAAGTACTTTGTTTATATGTTTTACGATAAACAAAGCAGGAGAGGAGAGTTCTCCTATGCTTTGTACTTTCATTCACGAAGCATCTACATTCTTAGGTGTCCCGGGCATACTGAATCAATTGCTAGACCTGTCTCTCGACGCGTCTTGTTTTCGAGCTGACATTCGGCAAATTGAGATAATATTAGTTGAGCAACTAATTTTTTTCATTTTCTTTTTTTCATCATCAAATATGAATTATCTTGCGAGATTGAAAATAAGCGTTGCGAGACTGCGCACAAAAGCATGCCTTTTCTTCGAGTCGCTTAAGTCATTCTAAAAATAGAAATCTAACACGAGCAGGCAATAAAATATCGTTTACAGCCAATGTTAATCATACGCAATAAAGGACGAGGAAAGGCTAGTGCCGTTCGACGAGTTTTCTTTTGTGGGTGAAAAGGAGGAAAACTCATTAAGTCATGATTTTTGGTATCATTGCGGCTGCGTTTACACTGCTATAATATATTGTAAGATGATAACATGGTAGAGGCGAATGTTGGTGAGGGCAACGCTAAAATTATGAACTCTTGCTTTATCCGTTTTTTGTTTGTTGGTATGCGGTCGTCGCTACAATGCGTGTTTGGTCGTTCAAGGCATAACACCCATCGATCAGGCACATACTTCTAAGGTTGCGGTCACTCTCTGCGGTTACTCTCTTTCTCGTATTTATTTTGTGACTATCATCGTGTTACATAGATGTCGAGGACATTCCATTAATGGTTTGTCATCTATCATGTAGACATAATAGCCATCTGAAGTGAACGTTACACAGTAATCTCCACACAATAATGCAATAAAGCAATTTCAACAACAGTGGATCCTTTAAATAATGACCTAATAAATAATGGCAGGCATGTTTCGTCTACAAATATGCTCGTAACGAGCGCACAATTTACCCGCCAGACAGTATAGCAATATTGTAACTAAATTAAATCTGCGGAACAGAGTCGCAATCGACTGACAATCCCTCCTCAATTATTATAGGAAAATGGCTTATAATTATCCAGAATTGGCGTGAAGCGATGCCAATCAAATGTCCGCTCTAAGGCGAATGTGAATGTGAATCTCTGTTGCCTGCTGCGGGTAGAAAGAATCTTCAAAATTCTCTCATCACACGAATTTTTTACGATAAGATTCAAGTCTTTTGAAAATGGCTACCAATCAATCATTGAATCAATTAACTGACCGGAATTTATTATGTCTTCCTTGTAAAATGACTTTATGTGAAAATGTGTAAGGAAGCGTGATACTATACTATTGATGCATTAACAATGAGCAGGCGGTCGGTCTAATATTGTTCGATCTTGTTATGCACTTGTCAGGATTCTCTTACTTTGTTCCAAATATTTATTTATTTATTTATCTTTTGTTTTTGTTGCTTTTCTTTTTGAGCGTAAAGATGCATTTTTTTAAATTATATATTAAGATTGGCCCATTTAAATTATCTTGGTTATAGGTCCTGCCACTGCCTGACATCTAATATTAAAAAGTGCTTTTGCATGCAATACCACCACAAGCATATGCTAACCATTCATTAAATAGCATTTTTACCATGTAACAGGAGAATGCTCTCAGCTCTCAACTCGGTATTATCTAAAAAAGCATACCGACAGCATATATGAATGGTGTGTGTGTGTGTGTGTGTGTGTGTGTGTCCTAGAAACCTAACAATATCCCTTAGAAACACAAAGCATAGAACGCACAGCAGTTACATACATGCATGCATCCGCACCCACATTTTATTTGCATTCAGGACTTTTTTTTTTCTTTTTTTTTTTTTTTTGCTTTTTTTGTCTTTTTATATTTTTCTTCTGCATATAATTTTTCTTCTTTTTTTTTTTTCTTTTTTCGTTTTTGTAAAGATCTGAATAAATATAAACATCAGCAGGGGGGAAGGGGGAGGACGATGGCGGTTACAAAATATTTATTATTTATGAATTCTATTTGGGGGGGAGAAAAACAGTGGGAAACAAAAGTGAACAGAAAGGATAGTACAAAAAATATTTTCTCAACGATGAGATAACAATTCCGAGAATCTAACAACAACAACAAACTGTGAGAGTAAAAAGGAGATGATAACTAGTTTTAAACGCATTTTTTTTTTTTTTTCTTTTTTGGAACCGTTCTTTTGTTTTTGCAAATAATGGATTCGCTAGAAATGCATTCCAACACTTGCGGAGTATGAAAGGACTTTTTAAAGAACCTTTCGTCAGTTTGCAAGTAACTAAGGCATTTCGATGAGACCATCTAAAGAGTAACGAGTAGAAAGGGAAATCGCTTTTCAAGAAAAAGAAAGAAAAGAGAGAAAAAAAAAAAACAAGACTCAAAAAAGGCTTAATTCAGCTTATTTCAGCTGATACATATTACTTCAGTTCTAGTTGTCTGCTGTCCGACCGTCCTTCAGGCTTAGATGACAAATGCTTGTGATGTCTTACCTGCAGTTGGACATTGATGAGGAAATTTATTTGGATTTGGTATCCAATGTCCCCAATCGTCGACCTCGCCTTCCTGAAAACATTTCAAAGGCCCTTTGATAAGGAAATGTTTACACTTTCTGTAGCTATCCTAGCAATGTCGTCAATTAATTTACTTACTTTCGTCATCTAACAATCATTTAAAAAGAAGGACCCGGGCGTCTCCTTCGCCTTGCCATTCATTACCTTTGGTCCCCCCAAGCACATGTTACGTAATTCCTTTTACGCCTTTTTTTATGATGGCATGAAAAAAACTTTACAACTTTTTAGCTTTGCTGAAATAATTCATGAATTAATTCCTCCTCATTTTTATTAAGAGCATTATTAGTTGAAATCGATTACAAAAAAAAAATATATATATATATTTACTTAAATCAATACCTTTGCGAGATGTCTTCGAATGATTAGTTAGTTTACTTACAATGACTTGCAATGATCGCCACCCATCGATTGATAAATTTAACATACTCTACGGTATTATTATTATTAGTAGAAATTTAACATACTCTACGGTATTATTATTATTAGTAGAAATCTACGGAGAGAAATATTCGCGAATGACGTGAAAGTAAACCAATTTTTTTTTTTGGACGGATTTAACTAAATAAATATTTAAATATTCCTTAAATCAAACAAAAGAAAATCAAGTGCAATAGTGTATAATCAAATTATTAAGCACTCCCCTTCCCCCCCCTAAACGATATACAATCATCATATCGTCATTATGATTATGATCATTATTATTATCATCATTATGATCATTATTATCATTATCATTATCATCATTGCCGTGGAGGTTTTCTTAATGTAAACTTTTCTGCCCATTATTATTGTTATGTAAGGCAATATTTCTTTGAGTAAGCAAGCATTGCATTTCAATGAATTGTGTTAAGCCTGTTTTGAAAATGTGAAAATCTAGAGCAAGTAAAAGAAGAGAATAAAAACAACGCAACGGGAATAGCTGTTTTTATTTCAACTTGTTTGTGTTCGTGCTATATACATAGACAGCCTTTCGCGCTTCATCTATCGTTTCATTCTTTTGTTATTTGCCAACCATTCATGCCAACGTGTGTTTGTTGTGTTTCAACTGTACGGTACGGCTGTCTATCTCATAACCTCCTAACGCCGGTATTGTTTTCATAGTAAAACGTCTGTTTTAGAAATTCACCCATGAGCTTCTGCTTTGTTGTTGTCCTCCTATTGTTGCATTCATTTGAAATATTTGTTTCTTCGAAATCTGCTTGGACATAAGAAAGAAGAAAACAATATTATACTGGCTCGTCGGTCAACATTAAAGATTTCTTACAATAATTGCGTTTTGTTTTTTTTTATTTCTTTATTTATTTTTTTGTTTTTTTGCTTTTCATTTTAAGCTTATATAATTAGTTTTTATTCGATCATGTTTTTCGAATATGAACAAAACTAATTTAACCTACAGTCGTTATGGTCATCAAATTGCACCAACTACACCTCGCTGCTAACGAATAGTATTTTGTTGATTTTGACTGCTATCGATTTAAAGATACCCTTCAAAGCCAGAAAACATTAAAAAGAAAATTCTGAAAATTATTTTCGATAAGACAGATGGACAGTTGATATCCTATCAGCTTTAGTTATCAGCTTTAATCCAACCATGGAGCACGTTTATTCATGGTTGCAATAATAAAGGATCGTTCGAAGTGCTGCCATTGCCCAAATGTTTGCGGATTTTAAACGCATAAATCCAAGCCGAGAGCAAAATTTATATCAAATGATGCGAAGATTACGAGAACTAAAACGTGTTCTGCAGCTCGCGATAAATTGTTCTACTAAAAAGGACGCTTGATAAATGTCGCAGATGTCGCGATGCGCTGAACGACGTCAGAGTTGACAAGAATTTGCAGTAACAAGACGAATAAATTAATATAAAATATGGTAATTCCATGTCACTCCGTTTAACGCATTGCCGTTAAGAGATTGCCTCAAAGTGAGTGAGATGGAACCAGCTAACCGATGATTGTTAAAGTCATTTGCTAACAGGAAACAGTCTTACAACGCAAAGTCAAATCAAATATAACGTAGCAGAATTACCAACAGTGCAACGTCGCAGCTTGTGGTATCGAGTAAAGATGCCCTTGAGATATGAGAACCCACGACCATTGATACAGTTACAGTTATCTTTGTTTACTTGAATTGTGGTGTCGTGTATGTGTATTTTAAATATATTTGAAAAAATTTTCCACGGAATTTCTTTAAAATGCGAAAATGCAATCTTTTGTGTAACCTTGTTAGTACCCCATTGTATCGTGCCGTGCAAAGTTAAAGTTAACAAGGTTTTTCGCCATCTTTTTGTTCTCAACTGTAATGAAATTGAAAGCTACTCTGTCTTTGTTATTTTGAATAGCATGCTTGAATGTGTGCGTTCTAGTGCTAGAAGAAGAAATCATCATTCGAAGTATGCGTTGAAAAAACATTTATATGTATATGTATGCATATATATATATATATATATATATTAGATGAATTAATTGTATAGGAGTATAAGCTATTGTCTGCCGATTGATTGGTACAGTTTTTAGAAAAACTTTTTTCCTTTTCATTTCATTTTTGCCTCTGGCCTTAAGGTGTGTGTTTTTTGGTCGTTTTTTTTTTTTTTTTTTTTTTTCTTTTACTTTTAATAAGAATTTTTATAAGAAAACGTCAAATAGAAACGGAATTTTTATTTTTCGTTTTTTTTATCATTTCAGATGCGGACAAGAGACACGTGTTATACCGCGATTATTGCAGCTGCGAGCGCATTGGCTGAAATCGGAAAAAGAGTCGTTGCGGTTAGAGGAGGCGGGTATAACGAAAGAGGTCCTCAACAGTGCCATAGCTCAATTTTGTTTAGAAGTGATTGCAAAACATGGCGATCCAGCTCCACGTTTATGCAACAAAGATCCTTTAACGCTCAAAATGGGTTCCTATATGATAGAACTATTTCCTAATGTATGGTTATGCCGATTGATTGCATCCCTAAGTAATATGAGGTTTAATGAATTTTCTTTTCTTTTTTTTTCTTCCTATTTTAGGCGAAATTTTTGTTTATGGTACGTGACGGCCGTGCTACGGTACATTCAATAATATCGCGGAAGGTGACGATAACAGGATTCGATTTAAGCAGCTATCGTCAGTGTATGCAAAAATGGAATCATGCCATTGAGGTTATGCACAATCAGTGCAAAGATATTGGCAAAGAGCGTTGCATGATGGTAAGTGTTATATAGTTGTATAAGAATTATGTATGCCTTGCATACACTTACAGTTACACTTTCATAAATACTACACACACATTCCCATTTCGTCTAAAGACTGAAATTCATCAATATTACTGTCAAGTGTGTGTAAACGCAACGCTTCTTTGAACAGTCGTAGGCAATAAAAATTAGAAGAATTGTCTTACCATTAAGCCCTTATGTCAAGCGGTCACATCATATGTGTATCAAATAGAAAATTCAAAGAATTATTCAACTTTTTTTTTCTTTTTTTTTTTTTTGTTTGACAACTAATCCATATGCGGTAAATAGTTTTACATCGCATAAAATAATGTTAGCAGCAATTAATTGTTGGGCGCACAAATGACGTTCACCTAGCGGTTAAATGTTGCGGAATAGAGCCGCAATTACAGTGCAATTCGTGTTGGGAATTAAAAATTCAATTTGATGCACAATACACATATACGTACATATATATATATATATATATATATATATATATATATATATCATGTTATTATTGTTTCTTTCGTTAAAAAATTTTCAATATATTTTCTTCCTATATAATAACTATATCGTACGTAATTTCAAATGGAATGATTTGATTTCGCATCAATATAAACGCATTGTAAGATGTTTTAATTTGTGAGCTTAAATGATCATTTATTCTTATCAATTTATGCGAGCATAATAATGATATCTTTTAATGGTTATTTGCTGTGCATGCAGCAAGGATGCCAGTATGTCACTGTCTGTGTTAATAGCGTGGAAGATTTAAATGAAATTATGCATCGCCTTTTCTATATTTAATACTTTCGAAAATGTCATCTGCACGCAATCAATTTCTCTGAGATCCCTTCGCATGCCTGTGCCGTTACTAGTTTAGTTTGTATCTCTGTAAATCATCAATGTGTCTGCTATCCTCCTATGCTGCTGCATATGCTCCAATAAATGAATCTAGCAACGCCCAACAATCCGCCCAACCACCTCAACTTTGCAATGAACTCATTCATGTTGCCTTTTGCCTTTTGCACACCATATTGTCTACACGTTTTCATTCATTCGCAATGAATGAAAACGTGTAGGTATATTAAGTTTGCCATCCAATTGGAAATTCCCTAAAATTGCATTTTAAAATCTTTGCATGCATAGAACAACCTGATCGATCAATTATCAAGCAGACAAATTCATTATTCATTCGGGAAATGAGATTGATTTAAATATATATATATATATATATGTATATATATATATATATATTCATATAACAAAATATCCAGTCCATGTATATATATTCCTCAGCAATAATGCGCTCATTTATTGGCAAAAAATATTATGAGAACAGCTACTAATAGGAATCAAAGAATTCGATTCAAGTCCTTGAGTGTACACTTTTGCTCTTAATTTAATTTGGGTCTCGGTGTTGTCTTGTGCAGCATTGAAACTGATGCCTTTTGTTTGATGCTGCGTTTTCGCCAATTAAGTGTTAAGAGAGAACGCCAACGTTTCACGACATCGTTCACGACTATACATATTTCTTTTTTTTTTCTTTTTTTTTTTGCTCTTTCAAGTTTTTTTAATCAGCCATATTAACGTATCGATAGTCGTTGTAACGTTGTATCATCCCACAATTAAACGCTATAGTATTTTAATGTTTTCAATAAAATTGCGAACGCACGCTTTTAACTATTGAATCATTGTACGAACTTTTCATGTTATCAATATATGAGTGAGAGAATTATCGTTTGAAAGCTCATCTAAAAATCAGCTAAAGCGCATTTGATGCAAATTCCTTTTTTAAAGTGCACATACAACCTGTCATACGCGTATTAGTAAAAACCGCTTTAGTCATTTTCATCACTCATACATACGTATATATAAATTTTTTAAAATGAAAATTTGATATTTCACTTATTATCATCGATGATGATGTGTGATGTGTGATGTGTGATGTGTCACGCATGTGTATATATGCATAAAATATTATTTTCATTTTTACATAATTTGCGTTTAATTTATATAGGTTTACTACGAGCAATTGGTGTTACATCCGGAGAAATGGATGAGGAAAATTTTGAGTTTCGTTGATGTACCGTGGGATGAGGCAGTGCTGCATCATGAAGAATTCATCAATAAACCGAATGGAGTACCTTTGTCTAAGTAAGAATCAATATCATATATATATATATATATATATATATATATACAAACATTTATTTTCCATCTTCTATTTTCCTTTTCATTTTGCTTTGAATTAATTACTAAACAAAAAACCAGCGAACAATTGTGTGTGAATTCTTACGATCTCATATATATATATATATATATACCTGTATATGGATTATGTCTTTTCTAGCATATCTAGCTGTTGGTCTGCTCGTTGTAATCTAAAGAAAATTTAATTATAATACTCCATCTGATGCTGGACCGAAAGCAAAAAAAAAAAAAAAAAAAAATAGTATAATGAAAACAAGAGAAAATAATTTAATTTACGCCACGACTTTAACTTGGTGTATATGCTGCGCAGTCGGTCGTGTTTCCATTTCTTTTCTTTCTCTCTCTCGTTTTTTTTTTTTTTTTTTTGTTTTCTGCATTTCTCTGGGTACCTTGTGTGTGTCTTTAGCGACTGCTAGTTATCGTTGTTTTCATAATGTCGACTATTAAATCACTGACAAAGCAATCACCGCCACTATCACGACTATTTGTATAGCGAAACGTGTTAGGTTATGTCCTTTGCTTTGCAAAAAGAATAAAAAAAAAAAAAAAAAATCAATCTGAAACGGCTTTTCATTCTATCTGAAAGAAATGAAATCGACAAATTTTCATATCTGAGGAAAGCAAGGTGTTTGTTCTATGAATAAAAAAAAAAAAAAAAAACAAGTCTTCGCTCCTGAATTTAACCCAACATCTATTCTTGGAAACCAAATCCTATATGCCGGAGAATTTACTTATGCGACAATATTAGCATGGACGCCAAGAGATGGTGTAACTGAATTCGTCTTGACTCTAAAATGATTTCTTTCTGTATAATTCATTCATTCTGTGTATTTAAAATCTAATTTCAATTATTATTATTATTACATTTATGTGTTACTTTTCTTGCTTTTCTTCGCTATATTTACAATAGAGTTGAACGGTCGTCGGATCAGGTAATTAAACCAGTTAATCTTGAAGCTTTGTCCAAATGGGTGGGACATATACCAAAGGATGTGGCACGCGATATGGCACATATCGCGCCAATGCTATCCGTTTTGGGCTACGACCCGTTCGCCAATCCACCGGATTACGGTAAGCCAGATGCCTGGGTGGAGGATAACACTTCTAAGGTATGTGCAGCTTACAAAGTGTCCTTTTCGTGTTTTCGTTGTGTTTTAGTTGTGTGTTATTTTGTTATTGTTATTCTTGTTGTTGTTGTTGCTATTATTATTATTATTATAATTATGGTTGTTATTATTATTATTGTTATTGTTGTTGTTGTTGTTGTTGTTGTTGTTGTTGTTGTTGTTACCGCTTTATTTAGTTTGTCTTTATTTTGTGCAATATATTTAAGTTTTACAGTTTCCGCTATTATCCGTACTATGTCTCTATGTATATTAGTCTTTTGTTGTTTTCCTTCTTTTGTGTAAAAGTTTTGATTGGAGAATTGTCCGCAACGTTGATACGTCGTTGTTTCCGTTTATATTGCATGTATTGCATATAAATTTATTACTCTACTGTGACATTCCTACTCACACAATTGTGTCATTTTCGATTTCGTATATCGCAATAATGACCAATTAGTTGCCATCGCGCATCAATCAACAATATAAAGGTTTAAAAGTTTTCATGCATATAAAAATTCAATACGTTACGTATATTATTCAATTTTTCATCAAAAAAAAAAAAAAAAATTGATTAAAAGGATTACGACGTTAAACCTGATTAATTATCTTGTTTGTAATATTCGTTCGTGAAAGCCGCCGACCCGCAAAACGACCCTACTATAAAACGATGTCTACATAATATGTCTTTCTTCGTTCACAGCGGTGTCTTTTATTCGTAAGATTACGTACGATCGTAAGCATTGATGTAAAAAACTTGACAGCAACTTGAAAAATAAATCTGCTTGATATCTCTACAGTAGACGCCGTACGCTCTGACCTATCAAATCCATAGAACATTGTATTCTTACAAATATTATATCAAAAGTATTTGGATACAGAAAGGTGCAAGTTATGTGTAATTAAAAATAGATAAATAAATTTTTAACTTTGTTAAGATATTTCCTTAAGCCATTTAGAAGCTAAATGTGACATCGATTAACGATCGCGGATAAGCTTAAAAGCCATTTAAAAGTTTATTGTGAGATCGGTCTAGCAGTGTCTTAACAATTAAAAGATTGATAGCAATGCGTGCCAAGGAAAACCTTAACGCATTTTTCACTCTTTCCCTACTTTTTTTTTATTTTTTAAAGAACGAAAAGCCTAGAAGGCGAAGAGAGAACAATTTGTCGCACACTCCTTTGATCTTAATTTGATTTATTTATTTATTTTTTTTTTTTTTGAAGTCGTAGCATATTAGGATAATATGTGACGCATGAATGTAGAAATGTTCATAGAGCCAATCCCCTTCCAATTCATGTAAACATTTTGTTGCGTAAAATGTTCACACAACCAGACAATGTTCCGATTATTTAGTAGGTAGGCCGGAAAACTAATTATTATTATTATTATTATGTCTAACGCATCCGTGTAAGTTATTGTCGCTTGTGTGTGTAATCGAAATAAAAATTGAATTAGCTTCTGTATTGAATCAATTGAATCAATTGAATTGGAATAATTTTATATATACATATATATAGAATTGGTTCGATTCTGTGTCCGATCATGCCAATAGTAAGCCAATAAGAAGGAAGAGCAGAGTGAAAACCACAGTGTTATGGAAGTTACTAAAGAAAAGCATAACTTTCCTGAATAAAACGATATTGCGATGAATATATATATTTATATGAGAAAACACTACAGTGTCCACCATTAAATACCCTGCGCCTTGCATTTCGCTTAATACAGTTATACGTCATACGAGAATAGCGGTCCGAACAATGAGGTTTAATCCGAATATAGTGAGAGAATAGTTTGAAACATGCGAGCGTACTAAACTGCTTCAGCAGAATATCTCAGGCGATTTTAGATCAAATTTAGAAAGTGATCGCTCGATCGATATAATAAAACGTTCGGCTATCTCAATACACTCATGTTCCACAAGTCGTGCAGAGTATGAAAAGAAAAAAAATAAAAAAAATAAAAATTTATATTAGTAACTTACACTTAGTAAATTTATTTATTTATTGTTGTCGCTTTTTTTTTTTGCGCCAAATATTCTTTGCATTATTGTTGTTTATCTTTTTGTTTTGACAATTGGGATATGTTCGTGAAAAGATACTTTGCTGCAAGTCAAACTCGATCTAATAAAATGTTCATATATTTGTTATCAACACACACATATATACAGATATTTTTTCTTTCTTAACGAAAACGAGCGAACGCACAATTTACTTGAAAGTTTCATACTAAATCCCTTAGTAGTAGATTTGCCAGTGAATATTTGCACAGTTAGTTGACCGTGCAGCGTTATCTTGGCTTCTTCATAGGTTGCGTCTTGTAGGACACAAGCTTTTATCTCATCATTCCACTCTATTATTTTCTTTCTCTCTCTCCCTTTTGCTTTTTTCTCTTTTCTTCCCATCCAGCATTCATACTCGGGAATGTAGTTTCCATTTACACTAAGTTGACGCTTGTACTTGTACAATAACGTCTGATTTGCGCCTGAATTGCTTAATTACTTTTGCAATATAGAATCTAGTTAGGGGTCATCCTTCAAATCAATCGTACGTTTTCGTACTTATAATTTTAATTAAACTAAATCTTGTAGTTCATGTTTACCAACCGTTTAACGACAAACGCATTTTTATACTCTAGCAGTGAAGGACGCGTGCAGAGTATATTCATTTTATCGAAACGTTTGCAAAATCCAGAAGAGAGTCGGACTCTCAAAGCGTGCCTGCGCGTTTATCTGTTTATCTGTCTAGATATCGGCTTGAAATTTGCCGAAAATATTGAACCTTTTTTTGCCTGCACGTTTATATTATCAAAGACAATATAATAATAATATAAATTTAGATAATCATGCATAGAGGTGGAGATTTTTACATTGTTTGTCTAAGACTTCAGATCTCTTCGTTATGTAGCAATCTTTCAATAGTGTTTTTCTTTTTTATCGTTAAATGTTTTAATTTTTTTTTCGTTTTTTTTTGTTTACTTAAATTTTTAAATTAAGTAAAACTGGAATGTAGACAATTGGCAACATTATGCATTTAAGAAAATTAATAATATTTCTACTCTCCGCTCATAGATTATAACAAGTAAAATTTCGCGTATATTCCATCAAATAAACTGCAATGCCTGTACAAATATGCCAAAAATCGATTACGTTCTCTCTTCTCGAGTATTGTAGAGAAATTGTTTTTGCAATTGTTTTTCGAGTTTTTTTTTTTTTTCAAGATAAAGGTGACGGCTATAAAAGATGATGTTCAGTCACTGCCGCATATAAATTTCTTACTCGTTTTCCTTTACTGCATTATTAAACTAATCATGCACTCTGTAGATGGCTGACCTTTTCCCATCCTGTTTGTAGAATCTCTTCTTGCACTTTATCTGTTTGTAACTATAAATCTTTTTGCTTACTTATTATTATTTTTATCGTACGTAAATTTTAAATAAGTTTGTTCTCTTGTAGTATGAAACGGACGCAATGCAACTGACCTAACTAACTCAATAGCATTCTCCCTTTAGCAAACAGATATATTTTAGCCAACTTTACGCATTACAACTTTTCGCATTCATTCGGCTTGCATTTGTAATACGCTTTGAAAAGTTTTACCGTCCATTAGCGATGAGTTCGTGACAAAGCTATATATATAATATTTAAATATTTAGAAGAACTTTTTCTTTTCTTTTTTCTTGTTGCCCATATCCGTCCCAATCACCCCAACCAACCATCCCACCACCGAAATATGAGGATGTTGTAGTTACTCATTTTGAATGCTTGCAACGCCCAGGAAAAAGTTTCAAATACCATGATGCATATATATATATATATATATATATATATATTTATTTATGATTAGCATCACGTTCAGAACCGATATTGACATGCCCCGTGTGTTCGTGTATTTATCTGTCTGTCCGTCGGTCTTTTTGTTTAATGTTTCAGGAAATGCAGTTTTCTGCCCGCATTAATAAAAATTCTTGCACGCGCCGGTCGACTTTCAAGAAGATTACATCTACAATGAAACGTAACCTGTGAACATGTAAAAATATGGCAAACAGTGCCCTGTGATCGCCCAATTTAATAGGATATCAAAGCTTAATTTTTTTTTTTTCAAAACATTTCGAACGCTTAGAATGAAATTTCTGAGATCTCTGTTGACCTCTTATATATGTAACTTCGAATCGATTTAGGCATGTCCGTCTGTTCGTCTGCATATTTGTCTAATGTCTTTAGATAGCAACTTTCTCTGTTGATTGCTAAAATTTAAAATATCGCTATAAAATTCAATCAAAAATCTCACACGTTGCTGTTGCTGTTGAAAAATACTGTACGACGCCCAGTAGTCTTAAACTATGAAGAGTGATCTTGTGCTGTTTATATAAAAATGAGACAAATCATCCAATCAGTCAAATAGAGTATAGTTTTCGGTTCTTTTTTTATATTTAAAATTTTTTGTTGGTTTTTAATGCCAAAATTCTGAGATCATCATCCCGCCAACACATTCTCGTTTTGATACCCATCACGGTAAGATGAGGGTATACTCATTTTGTTCTTCATTCATAATATGCATAACAACGAAAAGGATGCTTCAGAGACGCTATATATATTGGTCAGCGTGTCCGTCTGTGTGTCTGTGTGTCTGTGTGATGCAAAAATGAAGATATCGAATTCAAGTTTAATAGAAACATTGGAAGTTTCTATACGCAGTCTGGTATTGAAAATGAGTCGAATCGGTCGGAGCGGTAACCATTTTATAACGTAAGCCGTGTTCTGTATAAGAGCACGAGTTTGATCGTTATTGCGGTCAAGGCCTATGCCAGGCACCTGTAAATGCTTATTGCCCCAACGTTTCGAGATAATCACAAACGCACCATTAGTGCTCGCCGAAGGGCCGCAACCAGCAGTTTCTAGCAAAGTATTTTGTGACGCTATCATCCCCGCTTAGTAATGGCAATACATACGTGGTATTAGAGTGAGCGGGCAATTTAATTCCCGTGGACCACATCGATTTTGTTCG